GAGACTAGGAAGAGAGAGGAAGTAGTAGGAGGGAGATCCAAGATGGAGGACTGAGAGAGAAGAATGCCAGCCCCTCTCTCCGGTAAGATAAGACTACATGGAAGTACTTAGATTAATAGAAATGGGTTAATAATTAGGACAGAGCTAGCTGATAAGAAACTAGTAACAGGCCAATAACTCTATATCTAATACAGCGTCTCTGTGTGTTATTAGAGGCTGGCGCAGCCATGGGACCTGATCGGTGGGAAAATCCTACTCATAACAGAAACCCTATCTCGAAAAAAAAAAATCCATATCATTAAATGGACTAACTGAACTTAGAAATCTTTATTCACCTAGCATTGTAAGAAGCCATCAGATATAAAACCATCAGTGAAGGACTATGCACAATCATATTGGCCTCTATTTGGAACAACGGATGTGATTAGTATGGAAAAAGGAGAATGTGGCCACTGCCTATCTTACAGAAGGCACAAACTTGGATTCCACACACACAAAAACAGTTACTGGATTTTGTTTAATCACAAATCAGGCTATGCACAGTGGAAGTCTAGCTTATGACCCTTCTACTACTACACCCTTTTAGAAATTACATAGGAAATGCAGAAATGATAAATAAGAAATGGCAGCACAATGATTATAAACACAAAAAAGGCAGAATTAATGTCAGTTCAGTTCTGAATTCTGTCAATCTTTCTATGAAATCCAGGAAGAGAGGGTGACATAGGAAAGGACGACATGTATTTCAGTGCTGGGAACTGAAGCCACAGAATCTGACTGGGCTATATTTCCTGACCAATTTAAGTTTTGATTTTAAGATTTATTTTATGCTTATAGCTAACATACAATCCACAGACTTAGAAATTTTAGATATAGAGGAAGAGACTGAGGCACACATGTATCTCCCTGGAATGGGGAAATAGAATAGATTTTTTTTGAGTAGACTGGAGGTGTGGTTGAGGACAGGAATGGAAGGATCAGATAGGGAGAAGGAGGGAAGATGGAGTAAGGGAGGGCATTTAAGAAGAAACATAAGGAACTGAGGGGCATTCGAGGGATGATATGGAAACCTAGTGTAGTGAAAATTTCCTAAAATATGTAATGACAATCTCGATAAGGTATTCTAATAGTGGCATATCGCCAAGCAAAGTGTCTAATACCAGATCTGTGTCACATTCAATTAAGCTGTTAGCCAAAGTGATCCCATGGAAATTCCAAAACAATCCAAGCTGTTGCCAAGACAATATATTGTTCTCTGAAAACTGAACCAGGGCCCCATTGCCAAGTATAACACCTCCACGATTCATTGAACATGGAAAGGTTGAGTTGGTGCCTACATAGAACACCTTCACCAGTATGTTCTAATGTCTTTGGTGTGAGAAAGTACTCTGCAGGCTACCAAAAGAGAAAAGTAAACACCAAACCAAGCACAAAACTTTTTTACATACAATCTGTTCTGCATGAAAGGTATGCTAGGGTAATGGTGGCACCATGATTGTGGGAGTAACACACCAATTTCTGACTTGAATTAAGGCCTATACCACAAGACTTAACCCATAGCTGACATTGCTTGGGTGTAGATAGAGTAGATAACCCAGAGACCTAGGGTAAAACCAAAAACTACTAATCTAAAAACAGGAAAAAAGAATATCAATAAAATCACTCCAAATGGTATTTTGTTCTACTCATAGATTGGTGTCTTATTTAGTTATCATCAGAAAGACTTCCTCCTGCAGCACAGGAAACAGATGCAGAGACCAACAGCCAGACAATATGCAAAAAGGAATCCTTCAAACATATATCTTTAAATGGGATTTCTCCATCAAATCCCTCCCCTCAGAGATGATGGAACCTGGCTGAAGAGAAGGCAAAAAGTGGTGTTGTACAACTCTTAATCCCAGTACTTTGGAGGCAGAGACAGGAGGACATCTGTGAGTTTGAGATAAGCCTGGTCTACAAGAGCTAGTTCCAGAACAGACTCCAAAGCTACACAGGGAAGCCTTGTCTCGAGAAATTAAAAAAAAAAAAAAAAAGATAGTAAGAATCAGAGGTAATGGAGGGCACTAGGACACTAGGACACTAGGAGGACAAGGCCCTCTAAATCAACTGAGCAAAGCTTGGGGCCTCCATGCATCTGTGCCAGGTCTTCTACATATATACTATAGATTTCAGGTTAGTAATTTTATGGGACTCCTGAGTGTGTGAAGAAGTGGGTTGCTGATTCTTGTGTCTGCTCTTGAGGCTCTTTTCCTTCTGTTTGGTTGTCTCGTCCAGCTTTAATGTAATGGCCTTGTTTCATTGTTCTGTTTTGTCACAAAATTAAATAACTGGAAAGCTATGTTTTTATTCTACTCTCTCTCTCTCTCTCTCTCTCTCTCTCTCTCTCTCTCTCTGTGTGTGTGTGTGTGTGTGTGTGTGTGTGTGTGTTTGCATGTGTGCATGTGAGTAGATCAGAGGCCAGAAGAGGGCATTAGATTCCCCGAAGCTGGACGTTTAGCTAGTCGTACTGTATACTAAATTCTGTTACTATGGCTGAGCAGCAAGCACTGAGCCATCTGAGACCATCTTTCCAGTCCCCAAATGATAACAGTTCTGCCTGTTGACTCCAGCAGGCCACACTGCAAAGGAGATAAGTGAAACAGCTCCTGTTGTCTGATTTCCCTTCTTCCTTTCTTTTCCCTAGTCCCCTAGCTTTGGCCTTTCTACTCTCTAAATATATATTTGTTGTCAAGTTGCTGCCTCAGGATCTTCTACTCTATGAAGTCAAATTAAATACCTCACAACAATCCTGTCCTGAATCAACTCCAACCATTGCTAGCAGGAGTGCACAGCATACAGAGCCTTTCGTCATTACATGTAGACAACCCTACAGAAGACTGCACACAGAAGATACAGAAGCAGCTCATATGTGAACATGCAACCAGAGTGTGGATATGGACATCACTACACCCACTTAGATGCAGATGGGATGAAGTCCAGACACTGTGGCCTGTTAACATTATTGCAGTTAACAAAAATAGAGCAAGTCAGAGATCAAATGCAGTGAGTGTTGGGGAGGGATAAAAAAAATCACTGGCTATTTTTGTCTTCTTCCTTTGCCACCTCTAGTCCTGACACAGCCTTATAGTTCAAGTGTAGAACAGATTTAAATGAGCCAGGAACTCTGGTGGCACTTTGTAAATAGAAATGCCTCTCTGATTCAAAAAGGAACATGCAAGGAAGAGGAAAATTATACTTAAAAATCTTAATAATCAGGGGGATAGCTGCAGTGGTTTGCACAGCCTGCTGGTCCAAAAGGAACAGTGCTGTACAGCAACATGAGAAGCAAGAACCTCATATTCACCTCCTAAAAGTCTCAGATGGGACACTTCCAGCCATCCTCCAGTTTATTAGAAGACACTAAAGTTCTTGCTCTGTCTCTTTCCAAAGTGACACCTGTCTGGGCCCCAAATAAAAATCTTGGAATTTGTGTCTGGATAAATACAAATGTATTCCTTCTTGGGGCATTTTGACACACAAAGTGGAAATGAGGACCACACAACTGGAACAAAAAATAATGAAAGGCTTGGTTGACTTGTAAATCTGATTGATTCTAAAATGGATGTACCTCTCTGCCATTACACAGACTGATCAAAAGTTCAGGTAATAAATGGTGTCTGACAGTGTTCATTAGACCTTGATGTCTACACATCAAGGGGGACCTGCACTGTGTAGATGTTGACTTGAGACAGGAAGCTGGGCTGTGTGTCTCTGTCCCCAAACTCATGATCTCTGCTAACTTCAACTGAAGGAACCATACTCCATTTGCTATTACTTTTCAGACCATGGAGTCAACATTTAAATTCTCCCTAGGCATCACTTCCATTGCTTAGTCATACAGTTTCCATCAATAACATGAAACTAAGACACGAATCACAATGGTTCTCCATCCACTATATTCATTGACAGAACCTGGCCACAAAGCCTGAATTTTAGAATAGGGTTGAGCTTGGAAATCAACTAAGGCTTTTAGAGAAAAGCTCATATTTTTAAGTGTTCACAGATTTAAAAAAAGTATTATATGTTAATATATGTTATACATGCATATACTCATACACATATCCACACACATATGTATATGTTTGTATATATCTCACACACTCACAATCAAAAAGGGAGAAACTTGGTGGAACCATAACTGGAAGGTCAATTGTTTCCTTTGTATTCTACTTTTCTTGTTTTTGTTTTAAAATGTTTTAAAAGAAAATAAAATAACTCAGTAAAAATGTTCAAGTAAGAGAAACAGGCTTGAATCACGGTTCTGCTAGTTGGTCCCATGATATTCTCTGTGAACTCAGTCATATTAATAATGCCTCCCTGGGGTACGCAGTAAAGGCTTTCTGAAGTACACTTGCATATATCACAATGGTTTGGCTCAGACATCAACATTTGTCACAGAAAATATAATAGGAACTATGCCTAGGTAGTAACTCTATTGCATTGTGTTGCAAAGGTTCTTAACCTGTGAGATGTGAAACCTTTGGGGGTAACATCAACTATCACCCATATTAGATATTTACATTACAGTAGCACAATTACACTTATGAAGTAGCAATAAAATAATTTTATGGTTGGTGGTCACCATTAGGAAGGTTGAGAATCAATGGAATAGAGGCTTTATTTGTAGACAAATGTATAGTAATATAGAAACAGTGATATAAAGTACGTAACTACTAATCATTCTAAAATGACATTTTCCTTTCTTTGATCACACACACACACACACACACACACACACACACACGCACGCACACATACTCATGACCTCAATTCATAGAAACCTTACTTTGCCCCCACATAAATGATATTTTGCTTGTTTTTATGTTTACTGGCTGTTGGAGTCCATGTAATAATTGCTAGTTTTCTGTCACCGCTGGTTCCCCTGCTGCAAAGGATCTAATCTGTTCAGAGGAAGGTAATTGTGGAGGTGTTGCAATAAAAAGGAAAGGCCTGCATCTCACCACTGTTATGAGCCTCCAGCTGGGAGGCAGAGTTCACAGCCACCTTGCATAGTGAACAGTAGAGCAGCCTCTTTGCCTTTTCTTCCTCAGTCTCTATGGAGGGACTTGAGCTGTTCCCAGTGGCTGCCACCGTCGTGGGGCTTTTTTCTGCTTTAGAAGTGATCTCAGTTGTTCCAGCATTGCTCTTGCGCATTTCCACACTTGTTGTTGTTGATATTAATGGTGTCCCAGTGGCATTGTCTGTATTCCAAACAGAATAGGACAAATTAAGAATAGGACAAGGTAGGAAATGATGGTGTTGTCTTTTTCTCCTTTAAAAGAGATTATTAATGCCACATTCTGCTAATAGTGATAATAGCAGCTAGCCAGAATGGCTTATCACCTTTGAATTAATGCAAGAATCTATCAAAAGTGACCACAATTAATTTCACATATAAAATAAAAGTTAGATGATGCTTTAAAATATCCAAAAGTGCAGTTAGAAACATTTCACACATTAAAATAAAAGTTAGATGATGCTTTAAAATATCCTCAAGTGCAGTTATAAACTATTCTGTGAGGATAGACATAACACAAATTTTCCTGAACACACTGCCTCCCTGGAGGACATTCAGTACTATGTTTACCTCTTTATATATGCAAATAGTTTTTAAAATAAAGATATAAGATGAATGCTCTTAACTGTTTTTCTTTTTTTAGTCCTTGTCTTCCTACTACATTTATTTCTTCATTGAAAGTATAGCATGGGCCCTTTGGTACACACTCAGGAAAAAGAAAAAGAATGCTGCTGTAAAATTTCTCCATTCACTTCAGCATCTCATTGAAAACATAGCTGTATTTATAAAGAATTATAGTTCAATACCCGGTACCAAAATCACAGATATAAAAAGATGTGAAATTCTAGTCTGAACATGTATTAAAGGCATCCTCTGTTTCAGGATGTGTGCACCAAGTTCATGGCAGGTGTAGTCAATCAATAGACACCACTATCAAGTCATCCCAGGCTTGTCACACCATGTTAGTATTTCAAGAGGTTGATGACCATGAAAGTGTTGATGTACTGTAACCCAACAACCCTCTGGCTCCAAAGTCTGGTACTAAATCTGGAGAGATCAGCTTTCAAAGTGCAACCACCCCATCCTTACTTTCTTCAGAGGCACAGTAAACTCCAAATGTATGCCACTCACAATATTAGCAATGTTTATCATACCCAGTGATCATTTGCAAATAAGATCTGTGTTTGGATACTATCTAGCTCATATCTCTTCTGCCTCTTTGCTGATTTTTTATTTTTATTTATTTATTTTTTTATTTTACATGTCGATCCCAGTTCCCTTCCTCTCCCTCTCTCCCTCCTTCCCTCCTTCCTTCCCTCCCTCCCTTCCTCCCTTCCTCCCTTCCTCTCTCCCTCTTACCCTCTCTGCCCCCTCACATGCACACTGACCACCCTCCCCTCCCATTCCATCCACACCCATTCCACATGTAGGGCTATGCTATCCAGGTGGGGTCATGTAAATCTGCCAAGTCATTTGAAGTAGGGACTAGGACTTCTCTTCTGTCTCTAGGTTAAAGGAGTATCCCTCCATGGGGGATGTGTCTGCAAGGTCCTGGTTCCACTGTCTGAGGTCCCTTAGACTGCGCAGTCCTTCTGGCTGAGACCCATGTTCAGGGGGTCTGAGTCAGTCCCATGCTGGATTCCCAGTTATCAGTCTGGGGGCCCATTAGCTCCTCCTTGTTCAGGTCAGCTGTCTCTATGTGTTTCTGCAACTTGGTCTTGTCCTCTCCCTCTGCATCTGGATTCTAGTTTGACTCAGTGTTTAGTTGTGGATGTTTGCTTCTGTTTCCAACAGGTACTAAATGAGGGCTCCATGATGGTGGATAAGTTAGTTGTTGATCTCACTCTCAGGGAAGGGCATTTATGGTAGCCTTTCCATGGTTGCTCAAATTGTTAGTTGGAATCAGTCTTGTAGGTCTCTAGACTTTTCTTTAGGTTCAGTTTTCTCTTCAAACCAATAATGGCTCCCTCTTTTATGTTCTCTGTCTGTGTCTCTCTGTTTCTCTCTCTGTTTCTCTCTCTGTTTCTCTCTCTGTTTCTCTCTCTCTCTCTCTCTCTCTCTCTGTTTCTCTCTCTGTTTCTCTCTCTCTCTCTCTCTCTCTCTCTCTCTCTCTCTCTCTCTCTCTCTCTCTCTCTCTCTCTCTCCTGTCTTCTCTTCCTACCCTGACTCAATCTTCCTGATCGCACATGCTTTACATTCTAGCCTCCCAAATAATCTTAGCCTGTTTCTCCAGCTGCTCTTCAATTGTTCTTCTACATATCATTCAATAAGCATAAAGGCTTTTGACAGTGGGACAGTGGTCTGTTTGTAGTGGTGTATGGTATCAGTAAATACTGTGTGTGTGTGTGTGTGTGTGTGTGTGTGTGTGTGTGTGTGTGTGTGTGTGTCTTGCAGACTTATATAAATGCCAGGATCTCAAATGTTTCTTAGGAACCACCCTCCTATTTTTTTTTTTTTGAGACAGGGTTTTAATGATCTGAAGCTTGCCAAGCAAGTAGGGATGGCTGGGCATGGAATCCCAATGACCTGCTCCTCTCTGCTTTTACACCAAGGCAATTACAAATATGTACTGTCCTACTCCGCTATTTTATGTGAGTATTGAACTTGGATCTTCACGCTTGCACAGCAGGCACCTGACTGACTGGGCTATACTTTAGCCCTCTATAGCTCCATATTGTCATGCATTTCCTTTACTTGGGTGTAAGGCTATGGACTGAGGCTATCAGTTACAAGAAGAAAATGGGTTATTCTGAGGGCTACCAAATAAAAAGATGCATCTGACTATGGTTTCCTTCAAGTGACATTTCACACACTTTAATCATATATTTAGCAATAAATCTCCTCCAATGGAAGGGAAATATTTCCCAATTAGTTATCTGCTTTAAAGTGTCATCTGTAAATTGGTACATCATGAGGAAAGAAAAACAAAATTATTCCAATTTTTGCTTTGGAATATATGTATGTGCTATTTCTTCTTCTAATATTTATTTATGTATGTGGACAGTATGTTTGTATTTATGCATGGTTTGCGTATAAATGTATATAAAGGCTGTGTGTGTGTGTGTGTGTGTGTGCATGGCAAGTGTGTGTGTATGCACAGTGTATGTGTGCATGCCTCACAAGTATGCATATACCTGTGAAGGTCAGACTATGGGGTTGGATTCCCTGGAGCTGGAATTATAGGTGATTTTGAGTTGTCACACATGGATGCAGTGAAGTAAATTTGAGCCCCCTGCCTGTGTAGCATGTGCTCTGAACCACTAAGAATTATTAAAACATGACAATAGTCCCCAAATATCTCTAAGAATCTAGAAGCAGTATAAAAGCAATAGCTTTCAGATAGGTCTATAACTCTTCACTGTCCCTAATAAACAAAAACAACTGAAAACCCCTTTCTGTGAAATTATTGTAAGCTTCCAATTTACCAATGGTTCATATAATAAAATTAATCTCATGTATTTCCTAAACCATTTCATTTACCCTTCAGTGGAGCTAGGGAAACCATAAATCTCCAAAATGTAAGGAAGTGTTACAGGCCTCACAATAGAACAGACTGAGGCAGGAGTAAAAGCTTCATGAAAGGTAGAATTAGAAATTTTAAAAAGAGAGCAGAGAGATTAATGACAATCTTTTCCAAGACTGTGATTATCCATGGTAAGATCACAAGCATCTATGAGCTACAACTACTGAGTTTGTTGTACTCAGCTCTAAAGGGAATGAGGATTGTAAATAGCGTACTTTAAAAGCAGTGTGGCAACACAATGAAGTCAGAATGCACTGGCATGGGTATTTATTTCATGGAATGACCACTGGAAAGATTTCCATGGTAATACCCTTCTTCTAATAACACTTTTCCTGGACAGACATATTTCTTTTCATATGCTGATCTAACATGGGAACACAACAAGACAATGTTCTAGTTTATAGTGAGATCCATTTGTAAATTATAAAATATATCCATGGCTCTTTCAGTCCCTACAATAAATATACTAGTGTATTCTCCTGCATCTAGATGGTAATGCTCATTTATTGCAAAGACACGGTAAGGTGACAGATGCCAGGTTGTGTGCATAGGAATTAGTGAAGCCTTAGCACCCTATAGTGAGTCCTCACTTAAGACAGTCTTCTGGGGATTCACAGCTAGATGCTTAACTGCCAATATATCTATTTTGTGGCCTATTTTGGACCACATAGTTGAGAATGTGTTTATTATTTTTTTAAGCTTGAAGAAATTTTGAAAAAAGTACAAAGCTATATTTTGATCATTTCTAATTTACTGTGTAGATCTTGGTTCCACAAGGAAAGATTGCTACTCATTTATAAAAAGACATATATTTTCTCTTGTCTTTGTGTTTTATCTCTAGTAGAGGGATATTTACTCAAATCAACACAAAGGTTATACCATACTTAAAGAAAATAAACCAGTCAGTATTTGGTGATAAAACTAGAAAAGAAATTTTTCATTTAAATAAAAATAAAATGAAAGCCAAAAAAAAAGAAGAAAAGAAATTTTTTTCTATAACATGACACATTACCTCACCAATTATACATAATTCTTATCTACCCATTAAAAGAAACTTAAAGTCAGGGGTGTTCTACCTACTTCCATGCTATCAAGGTCCACAAGACAAAGAAAGTCTTAGAAACAGTGACAGTGCAGGATGCTCAAGGAGACTTGATGACTAAATGACAGGATATGGTAATGTTTCACACAAATACCCCCTCCCCCCACCCACACAGCACTCCTTAAAAGTTAGAATAAAGCAGGGACTTTAGAAAATTACTCATCAGTTTGAGTTCATTTGTTTTAACAAACAAATAACAGTACTGTGAAATACTGATACGGAGAATTGGGCATAGGGCATGGAGGGTTGATACTATGTACTTACATGTATTTGTAAATCTAAAAATTAAGATTCAAGTTTATTAAGGCCAAGGGAAAGGACTTGCCCACAAAAGCACACTAATATCAGAGGGGCATCCAGGGCTATAGAACACAGCTCTCAATTTTTAGACAAGTTAGCTTCAGGAAATTTTCCATAGTCATGTCGTGCCCTCAAGTGAAAACTCAAACTGGATACTTCATAACCCACTTCCAAATTTGAGCTGGTCATCTTACTCTGAAATGACTCATGTCTTAAACTTCCATTCCACAAACATTTTGTATTAAGCATCAGGACACTG